TCAGTTAAAATCGTCTGGAGAAGTAACATGTATGCATGCATGCATGTAGCTATACATAACTCTTGTATTTTAAATAAATTTCATAATGATTACGTGTCTTTTTGGCTTGAAAGTGATCCCATTAGCCACATCTACCATTCGAGAATATAATGATAACTGAACTAGAAGTAAAAAATAAAATTCAATATAAGAGTAATTTACTATTATAAACGCTTTTTTAGTGTTTTTTTTTTTTAAACATAAGTAATATATATTATTTATACAGGGAGGATTTTTAGAGGTGCCCAAATTTACACCGGGGGTTCAGATTCGGTAGTATACTCGTTTTTTGAAATAAAAACAAACTTTTTTTTGTCAAAAAGTTACCATTCTATTCCCTAAAAAACGGAACTTGTTGACAACGCTTTAGTCTTCTTCTTCTAAGGCGGTTGGAAACGCGGTAGTCATTCATCGAAACGAATCAGACTGATCGAAATAAATGTTACAATTTCTGAAAGCATTAGTGCATACATGCATACATAGCATAGTAGTATTGGTTATTCTGTGGTAATAGTGATTCTGATTAAAAGTTCTCGCTCTCTCTGCACTAAAATTATATTAATCTCTCGCTCGCACGCAGGATTTCGTGTAAGCCGAGTGAGAAAGGAACGAACCCCACGAAGTATCTATACTTTCAATCGATACAGTATCGGTCATAGAGTATCGATACTTACTTAGTACCGATTAATTTTTCAGTATTGATATTAAAGAGGAAGAATAAATAAATTAGTTTTATTTAACGGAACATTAATAACGTTTATTGATATAAAAATATAAGTCATATAAAAGAGAACTCTGAGAAAAAAACGCGTGTGCCACATAGGTTTATGAAAAAAAAAGTTATTAAATGATCATGGTTTAATTAAGTAACTTGAAAATGGCTACTGGATATATTGACCGGTTGATAAACGTTTTTAAATAAAAGCTTAGCTGTTTTATTACTTTTACTTTTCACCGATACCTACTGGATACTTAGTTAAAAAGTAACGATATAAAAAGCACTTGGTATCGGATGGAAGTATTGAGTATGTACCTATTTGTATTTTCTTAGATGGTTTTCATCCTTAGAACGCTAGATTTATCAAAATCAGTGAATCAGAACGCCTTTGTGTTGCATACTTGGAACTAACTGATCAATTAAGGTCCTTCAGTGCTTCCAGATCGCGAAAGAAGTGTTACAGTGCTGCCAGCTAAAAAATACAGTATATTGCGTAAAAATACAGTATTTTCAAAATATTTTTATAGTGATAAGTACAGTACAAAGTATTTGGCTATATTAAAAGAAAAACAATGTGTACTTTCCTTTAATTGAATTTTTCATACATTTTTGTGGAAAAGTTATGTATTATAATTAATCCGGGTTTCGACGTATGGCCTTTTGAGTTATCGTGTTTCCTTTAGTGAAGTTGGTGATAAGACAGTTCCGTTGTTTTGTTTTAATGTTATTTAGTTTACTGAAGTTGCGTTTACACTCAATTCAAGTTTTTTTAGCACCTTGACTGTGTCTTTTTATAATACCCAGATCTGCAGCCATGGAAGCATAGCAAACAGTGCAATTGGCTTTAGAGGGATTCTTGTTACCTATCAGGTTTTAGCCACTTACGAAAGTCTTGTATGTGGAGCTATTCATGGGGAAATTGGTGTCAATACTTCCTTTTTGCCGTACACGGCATCAAAAAAAGAAGTATGTATTGCATTGTTCCTTTGTAAGACAGAGACGAGTTTCTGTTAGTTTATAGTAATTCTACTCAACATGGGGTACCAACTGATTCATCGGGGATTTCCCTCCCAGCATGTAATGTAGTTCATTTTGCTACGTTTCGTTTTACGGATTGATTTTGATTACTGTGAAATTGATTACAGTAGATCCCTACACTGTATATTTTCACAACAGTAAACAGTGAAATATTCAAAATTACAGTAAATCTAATTAATGTAATTACAGTGAGTCTGGAAGCACTGTTTGTTCTAAAAGTATCGATATGAGTAAGTATCGATACTTTATGAGTACTTATATGAGTAGGTATCGTTATCCTCCATGTGTCGGAACGGAATATGCCTGGTCCAGTACTAGGCACCAGGGTAGAATTTTGTACTATAATTATAGTATTTGTACTATTTTTTATGTGAAAAGTTGCCAAACGAGCAGACGGTTCACCTGATGTTAAGTGAATACCGCCACCCATAGACATCTGCTACACCCGAGGGTTTGCAGATGCGTTGACAACCTTGTTGGAAATTGGGCTCCTTCTTTTGGCATACTTCAACTTTACGCCGGTCTTCTGTGGGGTCGCGGTACTTACCCGGACGAACCTGCCCATTCATGCAACAGCCGAGGATGCTGCGTGGCTCTACCACCATACTATAATTTCATACTACGTACTACATAGTATCCATATCTAAGAATTATACGAAATTATACATAATAGTACGGTTATGTATTATAATATCGTTAATTTACATAAATGACTAATATAAATGCCGATCGAACATTAAATAATGAAAGAATGAAGAATTGTTCATCATATCTAATTACCTAAATCCAACCCAGCTAGGGACTGTGAGAACCACTTCCATTCCACTGTTTTCTCTATTCCATGGTCTGTATCTGTAATCTGCATGGATAAATCCCAAACCCAACGTTAAATTTAATAATAATAATAATAAATTAGTAGACCATAGACGAAACATATAAAGATGATACATATTTATAAAAATATAAATATCGGCCTCGATATATCGAAAAAAAATATCGATATATAAACATATCGGTCAAATTTTCTGTTTGAAAAAACTAATGTTTTTAGTTCAGTCTGATTCAATAATAAGTAATAGTAATTTTTAAACCGAGTTCAAATTATGTGAATAAATGAGAAATTTTAATAAAACGTTAATTATTTGTTAATTTTAATCAAATTTCCTTTATTAATCTAAATTTCCATGTATATTATTTACGAAAACGTTATAGGTCATCGTTAAAGACCGTACGTCCCGCCATCCGTCAGTCCGTCACATTTCAGATTTACAGATATATAAAAGTACTCTTTGAATAATACAGTTATTACAGTTTTATTACTGCTATTATTACTAAAAAAACTAGCGAGTTTATCGACTCGTTTATTAGATTACGTTCTTCTAATGCCAAAATAACCGAATTTTAATTGTATTGATGAAAACAAGTTAAACAAGCAGTCAAGGACAAGTAATCAGTAAGCGATTAATACTTAAAACTTGTAATAAATTATTAAATAATCATCAAATCTTTGGAAACATTCTATTAATAAAGTAAGATGGAATGTGAAGCTTTTTTCATTAGAAAAAGGTAAACTTTAAACTGTAACAAAAATATGAGTCCTAGAAAGAAAAAGGCAAAACTTTCCGCTGATACAAAGAAAACTCTTAAACGATGCAATGAAGGCAATGATAGTCTTCATAAACGAACAAAACCCCAACCCAATGGGATAGAAAATATACAGGCTTTGAAAAGGAAAAATTTCATTATAGCGTGTGAACAAGTATCATGTGCAGCATATCTAAATTACGCCAAAAGATTGAAACTTATATATCTCCCAAAATGTGTGAATGGAAATAACTGTAAACATGGTACTAACGATGTAAGTTTTCATCTTAATTATTATTAATTATTAATAATTATAAATTACATATACACTTGATTATTATTGCGGAATTACATGTAGGTAGAGGGTTGAGAAAGGGGAGGGGGCGGCATAGGAACGCCCCCAGGGGGGGAGGATTCCGTCGGAAATGCATAATTTTTTTATGATTTTTTGATTGCCGAAGCTACTGCATCGTTTAAAAAAACTATCCTAGCCCAATGTAACTATGGTGGTATGTATTTAGAATCAAGGGGTGGATGGGGGAAGCTCTTCCTTAGCCACACTATGTTGGTCATTTTTTCTTAAATATAAAATATAAAAAAATAACCATGAAGGCTAAGCCAGGACCACAGCTCCCCTAACCTATCCGAGTCGGATTGCTCTGAATCGGTCTGTTAACCATAATGATGATATCAATAAATTTAACCAACTTGAAAAACCATTACAATTTTTTTATTTACCTTTGTTATATTTTTTTCAGTGGTCTTTTTTTACAGGCAAAGATTTACTTCAAATAGCCAAAAATTATTTTTGGATCTGGAATAACATTCATTAAAAGGAGATACCATTGGCTTCTTTCTCATGATTTAGAATGTAATTATGTAAATCTCTTGGGCTGAAACTAAAACAATAATGTTTTTAATGACTCTACTACTTAATCTATAAAACTTAAAAAAAAATAATTTCCCGAAAACTATAAGTTTTCCACAGAAAATCATACTAATATTTACATCAATGACTTATTACCTACCTATTAAAATTATAATGAAAATTGTGCTACCATATACTAAAGCAAAGCCAAATTTCATCTTTTTCTAATACAATGAATAATTTTACAATTAATATCTCTTAAACAATAATTTTTTTTTATATTAGTAGGTCCCTGCAATAAAAATTACAACACCCTAGCTTAATGTACAGATATAAGTGACTAGCCATTATTACAAATCTGTATAAATAAAATGAGATAGAGGTGTGCCATTGTATGCACATAAAACTATGGGAAAAATTTCAATAAATTCTTCTATTTTACTTCTATGCCCTAGTAAAAAATAGATTATGTAAGGTTATTAAAGTTTTTAGTAACAACAATTTTTGTAAACACTATGACACAATGTTCAGTGATGTGTTTTCTTACCCACAACTTTGTTTTTTAACAAAAAAGCACTTATAGAAAACTTGTATTTTCAGCTTAAAATAAATCAAATGCCATCATATGCCGAGGAATCATTTAACATAGAGATAAAAACAAATATGTGGTGTGAAGCTTTAGAAGTGTGTGTCTTATCTATAACACCCAATCAGTATTTGTCAGCCAATGTTTTGAGGGGTGTAATTGAAATTATGCTGGTAATTACTTTACTTGCTTTCCTTTTTCTTGTTTTCCAAAAGTAAAAATATACAGTATGATTTTATAGACAACAGACATATTAACAGTACATATTATGCAGATTTTTTCCACAAGAAGATGCAGAACTAGTGACCTCATTTTTTTAATTTTTTTTCAAAGATTATTTTTAATTTTTTCAAACATTATTTACACCCTATTAGGAATTCATGCCTTACCGTCTCAACACAATAACCTATTCACAAACACTGAAACTATTTCCTGAACACTGAACACAAAAAATTACTAAACCGCTTATCAATAGGGTGACCACTCTTAACGGGATAAACAAACAATGTTTGAATTGATATTTTTCTGGTTATTTCTTGTAAAAATAAAAAAATATTCTTTTTTGAATTATGAAATGCTCTAAAGTATGTACTTCACGATATAAATCACCCTGCATAATGTTAACATATTTTATCCACCATTCCCCATATGTGAGGTATTTAAAAATTGTATGACTATTTATTCATTTATATGCTAGGGTAACAGCTATTTTTGATATACAGGTGTTTAGTGCAGTCTTTCTTCCCCTATATTATACAAGTAATAAAATAAAATAACATCAGTAAAATTTACTTAAAGTGTATATTATTTTAATGTGAATTTTATTATTACTCATAATTTTATCTAACAAGTCTTTAGTATTAGGTTTTTATGTATATAATGTATAGAGGACGAAAGTAAATATTATATAAAGTAATAAAATATAGTCTATATTGTAGCACATGCTTGTAATATATAGAAACTAAAAAAATTATGTAAATGCCTCATAATTTCATAAATTTCTTTTGCTTTTCCAGAATGCACATGAGGATCCTGATGCTGATCTTACAATATCATATATATTAGAAAAATGTCAACAAATACTATCTCAAAATTTTAGTACACATCCACCATGTCATATGAAAACAATTAGAAAATGCTATAATAATTTCTTAACATCTGCAATGGATTTAAAAACTAACACTTTTACAAACAGATCTCAATTTGGTTGTGAAAATGGCATTGTTAAATATTGCATGAATAGATTAGAATATGAAATCAGCTCAGAGAGCAAAGATGAACCTTTAGTTGATAAGTATGAGAATATTCCAGAAGAAATGTTACAAGGTGTCACAGGCTTACATTGGCAAAAAGAAAAATTTGAAATATTTGAAGCATTAGATAGAAATAACAGAATTAAGAGGCTAATGTATGTTCTTGAGAGTCTTATAGAACTGTTACAGTTTGACTTGGCCATATGGCTATCTCGGTGAGATCACATTTTAGATTCCTGTTAATAAACTATAAAGTGAAAATGTGGTATATCAAATGTAACTTTATTTGAGAAATATGTTACATGATTTTTATCCTTTTTTAACATATTTTTAGTCTATGTGTATTATAAAAATAATTCAATACAACAGAGTATGCATTTATTATTACTGTGATGATCCAAATATGCTTATGATTTTAGTAGTGTTATGCCTGGATTCTGAAATACTGATCATCATAGAAGTTAACTAATCAAATGTAATTTGAAAAGCCATTTAAAAGCTGATTACTTCTACGATGAGCAGTGTTTCTGAAACCGGGTGTTAGTGTTTGACAGTATATTACCTGTGATATTTAATATATTATATATGAAGATTCATTTATCATTATGCAATTTTTTTTATTTGTTTTTACTTGATTTTAGATATAGTTGTAATTCAGGTTCACAAATAATGAGGTCACAACGACCACTCATGGCTTTTATCCTGTGGTCTGACAATATACTGTACACTGGAGCTGTGAATAATAATTGTAGACAAATTCTTAGAATATTTGCATACCTAGTACATCTTCAATATCCAGAAGAGCACATAAGGATTATGACTGTAAGCATTTTGGTATTACACTTTAATTTCTAAGGGTTTAAATATAATGTCTTACCAACCAAAATATTTTTTTTTATTTTCAGATTTGGATTAATACCATAGTGCAAACTTTTTATATATGTGAAAATAATTCTAATAGTGACTACCCAAATACAGGAAAATATTGTGGTGCTTTCGCAAAAGAATTTGACAAAATTATTAAAGGTAATAAATATTTTTTCCAGTGTATATTTAATTTTCTTTATTATTTTATTTTCCATCCTTTGTGTTGTAATTTTTAAAGTTGACTGACCAAACATTCATTCCAAAACAAATAACTATATTGTGCTAAATTTATATTTTCAGATTTACCTCAAGAATCTATTTATAGAATATTAGAAAGGATACAACCAACTTACATGCAGTATCTCATGGGAATTTTGCATTTAAAATCAGTAATACCTACAGTGGAAGATGATATAATTAAAATTGTAATTAACTTTGTGAAAAATTCACAATGGAATAAATATCAACCAAGTTCTAACAAAGTATTGAGCCTCAAAACAAATAATGGTTTAGCAAAGGCAAGGAAAATAATAAATGTTCCAAATTTCTTATCAAAGATAATTTGTAAAATACAGAAAAGTACACATTACCCAGAAAAAAGTCAAGAACATTACCCTAAGTTTGATGTGGATGTTTGTAAATATCGTTCAAATTTAGATCAAATACATGTTGTATCTACTTTATATATTACATTATCTGCTTATCTTGATGCATTTAGTGTGCAGAATGTTCAAGATATGTTAGACACTCTCAATGAGCGATTACATACAGATGAGCACTTGGAAGTTGCGGACGACATATCAGATTATTGTTTATATACTACCACAGAATATTTAATAAGAAAATATAGATCCATTTATGAAACTTTAAAAGAACTTATGTTAACTCTGCATGAACTTAACAGTAAAGAACAACTGCCAGAAATATTTAAGATATTTGAGAACATAAGTTTTTTGGGCCTGTAATAATTAAAAAGAAGAAAAAGTTAATTTGAAATGTGTCATAACTAATTACATTATGGTGTCCAAAGAAAAAAAATATATTTATCTATATTATGGGCAATTTATTTATTACAGCCACATATTTGAATTATAAATAAAATCAATCATCCTATATTTGATTATCATATATAAAAAAAAAAAGTTGTGATAAATAAAGGACAAATAATAACATATTTGACTTCAAAGTTTATTAAATATAAGTCTACAATTATTATAAATTGGCTGATTCAATCTACTGTTAATATTTAGGGTCATAATGCCCTCTTGCTTTTTTAGATCTCTTTGCTTTTTCTATATCAACATCAGGATATTCTGATTTTAATGCTTCCATATCAATATTTGGGAAACGTTTGAGTAGGTGCTGAACATGATTAAAATCTCTATTTCGAGCCTTTCGCTTTTCATTATGTTCTTTCTCTTTATATAATCGGTAAAATTTTTTAACAGCAAGACTATTTATAAATCCATGTTCTAAATAAGGCCGTACCCAACGCTTGTTCATAAACTGTGGTATGTGGTGTTCTTCTCTCTTGTATTTTTCAGGCAAACCAAAATAATTAACAACATCATCTACTGGACGCTCTCCAGTTTCCCCAGTTTCCAACTTGTAATATGCAATATTGCGCTCTCTGACAACTGTCTCAATATTGTTCATAGACTCTTGTACTTTATCAATTCTTTCCGGATTCGGGAATAGTCGCATTTGGTCATTACATTCATGTTCCATAGTATAAAGCATATTTCGTTCTTTAAGCAACACATACCAAAGTTTATGCAGATCAACATTTGATTTTATTCGTAATTCATCTAATCTCCACGCTCTACCCACTCTAATGTTTGATTCATTCCAGTTTTTTTTTATGTCGAAAAATTCCATTAAATCATAATTACAGTTGGTTATATGAATATTTCTCGCAATTGTTGATGGGCATATTTTAGCAATATTAATGGAACGATAGCAAAGAGCTGGTGAATATTTGAAAACACTTTTAATAAGGGAAAAATTCATATTTTTTCTATAAAACAAACTCAACTGTCATGGCAAAATTATAACCTAAACTTTATGCCTTGGTGTTATAGAACTAAATGACAGTGACAGATTTTTTTTTATGTCAAAAGTTACCAAGCGAGCAAACGGTTCACCTGATCTTAAGTGAATACCGCCGCCCATAGACATCTGCTACAACCAAGGGTCACAGATGCGTTGACAACCTTTTGAAAATTTGGCTCCGGCCACCTCACCAGACGAAACACGAAAGTATTATACTTCCACTTTACGCCGGTCTTCTGTGAGGTCGTGGTACTTACCCGGATGAGCCTGCCCATTCGTGCAACAGCCGAGGCCGCTGCGTGGCCCTACCACCGGAAAACAATAACAAAAAGCAATTTTTTTAAGTGTAGTGTTCTTGGGCGAAAAAGGTCCGAGGGTCGAGAAGCTTTTTCGAATTTAGAACAAGGAATTTACATTAACTTAAAAACGTTAGTCTATAAATGCTTGTGTAAGAACAACGATACTGGTTTTCTATGATTACGACCGCTCCGCTGCAAATAAGTGACCCCTGTAGACGACAAAGGTAAAGCGATCTTCAGATGAAAGTGTAAATTGTGATATTTTTTTAAACTTCGCCCTTACTTATAAGATAACATTATCCTGTGTTGTAAAGACGTTTTACAAACATAAATTTCACGCGGACAACCACCCAGATGCGAAACAAGTGTCTGTGCGTCTGTGTCCTGTGTGGAAATCGAACCCACGACCCCCTTCGCCGAAGCCTATACCTTGGCAACTGCGCCATGGAGTCATCAATTATCTGTCACTGTGTTCAAGCTGATTATCACCGACGACATTTGTATATTTATTTTTTTTACCTTGGCAACTGCGCCATGGAGTCATCAATTGAGGATTTAACCGAGAGACATAAAGCGCTAAACTATCGCTTCACGGAAATAGTTATTGAAGACCTAACGATGATTTATTTCGATACAAAATTTACGAAATTAATTAATATATAAAACAATAAGTTTACGAAAGGAAAAAACTCACATATTTATTTAGTTACATAGCGAACGATTAAATGCTGACTTTATATTTACCATCAATACCAACACGATGTTGATTTGTTAATTGGCGGTCCAGAAATGATAAATTTGCTTAGACAAATAACATTCATTATTATTTTAATTTTTTTATTTAATTACATTTTTAGCAGTGTACAGTAAACAAAGAATATTTTTAATTAATATACTTAACTAAGGCTAAAATACTTTCCGGACCAATTATTTTAAGAACTCTTTTACGGTCAAAGTCATTTGCCTAAGGAACGCGCTTCCTCCACAAATCCAGCGCTCAAAAACGTTACTTAAATTTAAAACTGACGTTAAAAATTATTATCTGTCACTGTGTTCAAGCTGATTATCACCGACGACATTTGTATATTTATTTTTTATTTTTTTCTTCCTGTATATATTTTTGAAAGTTATTGTATAGTATATGTTAAGATTTATGTATGTCTATTGTATGTTATTTGGTATATATTAGTATATTATTATTATTATACAAAAATACAACATATTCGTTTAGTTTATTTAAATGTTAGTATGTAAGTTTATCATTTATACCAACCGTTGTCCAAATTAAAATATTTTTAACCACAATGTTGTCTGGAAGAGATCGCTCCTTAGCGATAAGACCGCCTTATTGTTTATATCTCTTAAGTTTATAGTTCTGTAACATTTCCTTTTATGTTGTTTTGGTGTTCAATAAAGAATATATAATATGTATTAAATATTTTTTTATGTGAAGAAGTGGCAAACGAGCTAGCGGTTCACCTGATGTTAAGTGATAACCGCCGCTCATGAACAGTTGCAACACCCGTAGGGTTACAGATGCGTTGCCACCTCTTAATAATGTGGGCTCCGGCTACCTCACTCACCAGACGAAACGCAGAAATGCAACACTTCTACTTTACGCCGGTCTTCTGTGAGGTCGTGGTACTGACCCGGACGGACCTGCCCATTCGTGCAACAGCGAACCCTATTGCGTGGTCCTATCACCGTAAAAATAAAATATTCTATATTTTCTCAGCTGTTGAACGAATGGGCAGGCTCCTGGTAAGTACCACGACCTCACAGAAGACCGGCGTAAAGTGAAAGTAAATTACTTTCGCGTTTCGTCTGGTTAGTAAGGTGACTGTAGCCCAATTTTCAAAAGTTTGTCAACGCATCTGGAACACTCGGGTGTCAGCAAATGTCCATGGGCAGCGGGATTCACTTAACATCAGGTGAACGTTGACGAAGACAATGAGAATCGAGACGAATCAAGATATCATAACAATAAAATTGTTTTATCGATAAAAATTATTTTGTTTTATTGCCATCGTATTATGACACGATGTAAGGACAAGACGGAAGAGACCCGAAAATTACCAATGATCAACATTGAGCTAATGTGCTTAGCGCAACATACCGCATTCGCAAAGCAACGTACCACAAGTCCCCGATTTTTAAAATAAACACCATACTTTTAGCTTCATGTGCCAGGCAGCTTTTGAATTGCTTAGGTCAACTAATCAGTTCGTTCACGCCCAGTTTCTGAAACACCGATCATCATCGAAATTAACTAATCGGCTGTCTAATTGCTTGTCAAATGACATTTGAGTTTCCAAAAGCATGGTTAAATTATTTGAAATGATCATTTTGATCATTAAGAAAAGCATTCTGATCACTTTGCATCTCGATGCAAAGACACCTCATGTCCGTCCTTGTACTCAAAATTATTCTTTCAATAAGGGAGGTTACAGAGTCTACTAGTACACCTCATCCGACAAAGCTGGTAAAGACGCCCGGCCTAAGAGCAAATTTCAATATAAAATATAAAATGTGTTCCCAATTCATAGTCACGAATTAGATTGAATTTTAAAACAAAGTGAAAAGTGATAAAAACAGTAAATAGTTTTTTTTTCAAACATTAGTAATGTTTGGGTGAACACTAATACATAAATGCATAATAAAAACCAAGAAATCTTGAAAATACTCTCAGATTTTTTTATCTATGGTATAAACAGTTCGGTGAAGTGCTCCAGTCAGCTCAGCGGACAGGTACAGGATGACGACCACAAGTCACAACCATAACAGTTTGCTAACGAAGTTTTGTTTAGAAATGTAAGTGAAGTTCTACAGCGATTTTAAACAGTATTGTAAATGGTTTTATTTCATGTTGTTTTGTGTAAAACCTAAGTGTGTGACGAAGTATACATCAAATTTGAAATTCTCGAAGAAATCCTGTCTTTCGAAGAGTCGCTAGAAGGTACCACCGATTACTATTTGTTGCTACTATTTTTGTTTTGTAATTTGGGAACGTAATGGAAAATTACTAACAAGATATATGTATTTAGAGTAAAAAAAACTTTTTTTTGGTTAAAATAGGTCTAAAGTCGATTAAAAAGTATTATTTTGTTATGTTATGTTCAAAAATTCGTACGAAAACATAACCCTAAAATCTACTTATAAATCTTAATCTGAGACTTCTGAGAGTTTGTCATAATTGTTTCAATTTAAATAACTGTTATATAAAAGTGATGATAACTAACAGTTAATGTATGAAACCTTGTTTGGTTTGTAATATGACAGGCTTCAAGCCTGCTGAAACTGTTAAAACTGCTAGGAACTTTTTTTTGTACATGAACTGAATTTAAAATAATTTTTATGGGTTGTAAACAAAAAACATGGTTTCTAGCAAAAAGTTTCCATAATTTCTTGACTTAATAAAATGAATTTGTGAGAACATTATACTTGAAATTGTATTGCAATGTTGAATGTCTATAACTAACTAAACCGTTATAATTAGAAATATGTTAAAATTTTTTTCTACATACCCTAACAGGACAGTATGGACAGGGGTATTAAAACATGTTGAACTTATATGCTTACATCATATATGATAATTACTAGGAAAAATATGAAATTTAGACTTGCTGCTTATATGTAACCAACATATGTACCAACAGTCAGTAATTAATGCTTTGAAATGTAAATTTTAAAATTTACTAATTGTCATTTATTATTCAGTATTATTAATTACCCACTATTATTCATCTATTTAATTGTCACACATTATTAAGGAATTTAATTATTCAATTTTTTTTATGTGAATAGTTGCCTAGCGGGCAGACTGTTCACCTGATGTTAAGTGAATACTGCCACCCATGGACATCTGCTACACCTGAGGGTTCCAGATGTGTTGACAACCTTTTGAAAATTTGGCTCCGGCCACCTCACTCACCAGATGAAATGCGAAAGGATTATACTTCCACTTTACACTGGTCTTCTGTGAGGTTGTGGTACTTACCCGGATGAGCCTCTCTATTCGTGCAACAGCCAAGGCTGCTGGGCCCTACCGCCGTCATATTTCCTAGGACTCATTCAGTCAATCTGACATTTTAAAATTTGTCACCAACAAGTGTACTCTGTGCAACAGTTTGATAACTGACTATTATGTGTTTGAAATTGACATTATGAATATAATTTTTTTTTTTGTTACATGTATTCTTAACATATATTGCACACGTAATTATTAGGTGTTTGCTTTTCTTCTGCATATAAACATTATATTTAAGGCATTTCATTTATTGTTATTTTACTTACATTTCTTTATTATTACATTGCTCAAATAGATAATGCTTGCTCAAATGTGGTAGAACATTATGTTGCATATAAGTGTATATTGTACGGAGTGAGACACTGCACATAATTCTGTAATGAGAAATTCTGAAGAATCATCAGGTATTTAGCTTGTTGATGTGCACTGTACCAGAAAAATGAGTGTATGTAACTTTTACATGCGGCTAAAGTAAATCTTAAAAAAAAACTTTAAAATAATTAATAGTTATTTAATTTCAATAATTAAATTTATTATTAATAATTTTTGCATTTTAAATGTATATTTCGGATACATAAATACATGCGTACAGCCTAAATATTGAAAAATCGGATGCTATATAAAGTCATCATTGCCGTAAAGCGCATGTTGTACAAAGCATTCTGTTACCCGAAAAAATAAGAGTCGAGTTTACCGAAGTTTTACC